CCTCAAAATTTGTTATTATTTTTTTTTTTAGACAGTCTCGCTTTGTTGCCCAGGCTAGAGTGAGTGCCTGGAGCCTAGCTCACAGCAACCTCAAACTCCTGGGCTCAAGCAATCTGCTGCCTCAGCCTTCCTGAGTAGCTGGGACTACAGGGCATGACACCATGCCCAGGCTAATTTTTTCTATATATATTAGTTGGCCAATTAATTTCTTTTTATTTATAGTAGAGACAGGGTCTCGCTCTTGCTCAGGCTGGTCTCGAACTCCTGACCTCGAGCAGTCCACCCACCTCGGCCTCCCAGAGTGCTAGGATTACAGGCGTGAGCCACCATGCCTGGCCAAATTATTATTTTTTTTATTTCTCAAAATTACTGTTCTATTTATCAAATCTAAGACTTTTTACTTTCTGGTTTATTTATTATTGCTTATGTCTTTATTATTTTCTATCACTTTTTCCTTACCTCAAGGGAAGAGAATCTATCACTTTTGATTTGTTTTATTGCTTTTAAAATAATAATATCCTGAGTGTATGCTTAGTTCATGTTTTCAGTGCTTTTTTTGTTGTTAAATTTCAATATAGTTTAGATATATAAATGTCTTTTCTTTTTGTTTTTTTCTATTCTTTCTAAGCTTAGAAATTCTACCGCTTACCCAGGGTTTAATATTTGTTCCAGTGGAATTTCTTTCACAAATAAGAACCTTGATTCTAATTTCAGCAGTATTATAAAGTATATCAATGAGGATTTATTCAAGAAAACTGAAACCACTCCAGGTATTTTAATCAGAGAAGAAGATCAGAAACAGTTCACATTCACTTGGGATGGGCAACACTATATACTTACAGTTCTCTCCAGGCCTGTCTTTTGCCTTCTATCCTAATGGAGCCTGCAGAAATCTGGATTATCCGAACTTCCTATAAAACATATTGTTTTGCACTGATGGCATTACCTGGATGAGAGCAGATGAGCAAAAGGTGGGTGGCATACTGAATGCTTTGATAAGACACGTGTGCTCCAGGTGGTGGTAAATAAAGCCTCACACATCTGTAAAATTTTTAGGAAACTAGTGCTTAGGAATCTGCCAGAAGAATATCTTTTCTAAAGTAAAAGACAGATTACTGCATCTTGCATTTCCTTTAACAAAGAAGGAAGCACAGGAGTCATTAGGCTTTTCAGACTCTGAGGCAAGTATTCCACACTGAGGAATGTTGCTCCAGCTGCCAAAGCAGAAAAGGCTTCTGTAGTGATCCAGCAGACCTTATGGATCCACTAGTTGAAAATGTCAGTGATGGGAAAAAACATTGTGCGGTGTTGAGGAAGACCCAGTGGGAGAACCTCAATAAGGGGCCTTGGAGTTCTGGAGCAAGGCCATGCCATCTGCAGCAGAGAATTATACCCCTTTTGAGAAAATCTTGTGCACTACTGATTCCTGGTAAGAGTGGATAAGACCCAGGAAACATGAGGTCAAGCAGGCTTAGCAAAAGTGTGAGGTGGAGATGTGTTTGGTACATCTAGAACCAAACACAAACAGGACCAAAGGTCAAAGGCAAGGTGCATGAGCAGGTAGCCCAGACACCCCCTCCCTGCCACCAGCATCCAAATAGTTGTACCCATGCCCCTCCGTCAGTTCATACTTGTGGCTCAATGTGGAATCTGATATGACCACCTGAAGGAGGCCGGGAAAGTTTGCATTTGGTTTACATATGAGTTGGCTTGTTAAGTAGGTACAAGTTGAAAATAGACAGCAGCTGCATGACAGCCACACTCTGGAGTGGTTTTGAAAGACAGTGATGAGGGAAAGTCCTCCCAATGGGTAGAGATTCAGGTGGTACACCTTGTCATCCACTTTGTGTGGAAAGAAGTGGCCCAAGGTTAGACTATATAGGAAATCAGGCAATAGTGATTACTTGACCATCTTTTTTTCCTGACATGAAAAATATTTGAAGATCAAGAACAAAGAAGGTCTGGGATAGTAACATGTGTATGTACATGTAGGAGTGAGTATAAAGTATAAAAATCTTTGTATCACATGTTAACACCCACCAGAGAACATCCATCAGAGAAAAGGCACTAAATAACCAACAAAATGATTAAGCCAAAATGACTGAGTCTCATCAGCCACCCCAGTGCAGGTGAGATGGGCACCAAAATGAAGTGGCCATGGTGGCAGAGATGGAGGCTACTAATGAGAAAATAGCATGGACACCTGAGGCTTATCTCGATACTGCCATCAACAAATGCCCAACTTGACAGTAAAGACCAAAGCTGTCAATGCTGTGCCCACAAGATGGCACAATTCATCAAAGAGACCAACTAGCCACTTAGTGTCAATTGACTACCTCTGGTCCCTTCAATCTTTGAAGGGCCAATGGTACATTCTCACAGGAATAGATATATAGCCAAGGTATAGGTGTGCCTTTCCTGCCTGCATGGCCTCAGTGCTTAGTTCTCCAGCAAGGTATCCCATGTAACATTCTGCCAGCAAAGGCTACTCACTTCACAGCAAAGGAGAAGTTGGAGTGGGCCAACATGACAATGCAATCCACTAGTCATATCACCTACTGTACCTCCCAGAAGTTGGTGGCCTGCTAGAGCGTTGGAACAAGCCGCTAAATGCAGAGCTGAGGTGCTAAAGGCAATACATTGTGAGAATGGAGTGCTGTCCTCCAGGAAGCAGTATATGCATTGAATCAAAGACCTTCATACAGCATTTCATCCCCAGTTGGAATAATACATGGGTCTGGGAATCAAGGGTTAGAGGCAGGAATGACACAACACTTATCATCACTCCCATTTACTAACTAAGGGCTTGTTTTTTCTGTCCCCACAACTGTAGACTCTGCAGAGTTAGTGGCTTTGGTCCCTAAAGGACCACACTTTTGCCAGGAGCACAGCAAGAATCCTATTGAATTATAAGCTTTAGTCTGCTGCCTGGTGCACATTGGGACCCTTGTGTCTAGGGACCAGCAGGAAAGCAGCCACAATCTTGACGAGGGTAATTGACCCTGATCTCAGAAGAAGTAGGGCTGCTGTTGTTATTAATAAAATGCAGGCAGAGAGGAACGTGTGTGGAACCCACACGTCCTACTGGTGTGCCTCTTTTAACAGTAAAAGGGTAGAGGCAGCAGCCTGGCCTGAGAAGCAAGTGGTAACTAGGACTCAGACCACTCCTGAAAGAGATGGTGGGTCATGCCATCAGGTAAGCCCCTGAGGCCAACAGAGGCGGGAGCTTAGGTGAATGGAATCTACTGTGTTTCCCCAAAAATAAGACCTACCCATAAAATAAGCCCTAGCAGGGTTTCTAAGCATTTGCACAATATAAGCCCTACCCCAAGAATAAGACCTAGTGACGGGTGTGGCTACACAGCGCATCTGCACAACCCATGCATTTTGTCCTGGAGCGGTAAAGAAGACGAGCAGCCTTTCTCATCTGCTCCATGACAGCTCTATTGCTCGACACGAGAGATTGGGGTCAATGGTTCCAAAGGAAATAGAGTCGCAAGAAATTCAGGATAGAATTCGGGGTTTGGAAAGTTATGATGTTACAGAAGAAGACGACTTAACTATATTTGAATAAATGTAGATTGTTGTACCATACTTAAAAATAACACATCCCCTGAAAATAAGCCCTAGGGTGTCTTTTTGAGGAAAAATAAATACAAGAGCCTGTCTTATTTTCGGGGAAACACGGTAGAATAGATAGGGTGGGGCAGTGGCTGAGTATCAACTACAATTCCAAGATCAACTATAAGGGCATGGTCACTCCCACGAACTCCCTCTTCCAAGTTTTCTCTCTCAAGAAGAGAGTCCCACTGAAATTTCGAAGGAGCTAGTCTTGGGAGTATACGTGGAAAGTAGATCTAAATGGTGCAAGTAATGAACTCTGAAAGACACAGAAATGAGTTTCCCAGATCCCTCATGAGGAAGGTCTTGCTACTTGGCTGAGAAGAGTTTGGTCAGAAGACACCACCTCCAGATAGTAAATAATTGTCAGATCCTTTAGGGTCTGCCTGAACTACAGAGAACTGCCTTACCCAAGACTATGCCCTTCCTGAGCAATCCATATTGGGTAACTGAGCAAGGCAGGTTATAATGGCCCGGCCATTTCTGCTGGACACTGTGCCAGGTCACACTCCTTGAGCTGCCCATGGGCAATCCAAGACTTTGTTGAAGCTGAATCACAGTTTGACTTCTCCCTCTGCTTACCCCTCTTTTCCCTACTTCCTTTCACAGGTGATGATCCCTAATAAACACACCTCCCAAACTCTAAAGTCTGCTTCTGGAGAATTCAGGCTGTGTCAGCATTTCCGCTGACACAAATTTATTTCATAAATACAAATGAATCTGCAAGTACCTACTTGGTAATAAAACAAGAATATTTGCTTTACAAAGTTTTCTGTGCTCAGAAAATAGAACTTGATCACTGTACAAACAATGCATGGTAAAGGAGCTATTTTTTTTTTTTTTAGTTTTTAATATATTTAGCATAGCCTTCACTATGGTATACTTTTATTCTTACTGTTTTCTAGTCTTCAACTTTAAGGGAAAAAATAGAGTTTATTTTACAAAAAATTTGCTTCCAGCGTAATTTCTGTCTTCCCTGAAAAACAGAATTGAGGCATTGTTCCTCAAAAATTTGGTAAATCAGTCTCTTCTGGAGGAAACACAGTTCCTATTGGTTACCCTCAGCTCTGTTTTTTGGTTTCAGTTACGGTAAAACTCCTTGGATTTTAGCCAAACTCTTTAAGAGTTCAAAAGTACAAAGCTCTTTAGGAGGCTTGCTCTTTTGAAATATTTTTTCATGGGTTAAAAATTAAATTTCAAAAGAATATCTGGGGTGGAAGAAAGTTCTCAGCAGAAACACAGACCCTGAACACCTCCAACATGAAGCTTGTTCATATTTTTCTGTTCCTTTTGTGCTTCTACTTAAATTTTTGCAAGGTAAGTAATTCAATCTTTATGCAAATTATTTTAGGTAGATATTTTAAAGATTATAAAAATATAGGAAAAATCTTTATAATGTTGACTTAAATATTACATAGTAATAATATACATACATGAAATATTTAATATACATGTAATATTTAATATACATACATGAAAGATTTAAAATAACACTTGAAAACACAAAAGAAGGAAATGTTACAAGACAGTATACATTTAATTGCCAAAAATGATACAAATTTCTTGTGGCAAAGGACTTTAAAATGACAGTACAAATCACTTCATGCGGAAAGGTCAGGAAAAGATTATGGACCAAGTAGGATTTGAGCTGGACCTAAATTCTGGATTGCCGGCCTGAGCCAAGGTCCAGGGACAGGCTGCTCTGTCTTTCCTCCAGGAGAATTCATGAACCAAAGGCTTGTGCTATGCTGTGTTGGGGGAAGAGTGACACAAAGTGAAACTTTTGTCTTATCCTTTTCATATCTGTGTTCCCCTGGGGTGCTGTAACCTCTCACCTGGATCCTGGAACTCTCATCAAGGTATTTTTATACACAATTGTTAAATTGGTGTTTTTGTTGGGGAGACAAGGGCTGGAAGATACGGTTCTGCCATATTGCAGTTGTCACTCTCTCCAACTGTCTTAAATGTGCTCAGAACTAAAAAAATGGAAAGAATGATGTATCAACAAATATAGACTACCAATAAAGAAATAGAAATTATAAAAAGTAACCAGACAAAAATTCTGAAGTTGAAAGTATAATGTAATAACTAAAATGAAAAATTCATTGAGGGGTTTCAATAGAGGATTTATAAAGGCAGAAGAGTCAACAGGCAAAAAGATCGGTCAATTAAGTTATCTAGTCTAAGGAACAGAATGAAAGAAGAATGACAAAAAAAAAATTTAATAAAGCCTATGAGACCTGCAGGACACTGTCTAGCATACTAACATATGTATAATGGGCATCCCAGAAAGAGGAGTAAGAGAAAAGGACAGACAATATTTGAAAAAATAATGTCAAAAAACTTCCTAAATTTGGTAAAATACATGACTCTACACATTCAAGGGCACAATGAATCCTAAAAAAGAAAAACACAAAAAGGTCTACCCAAGACACATTATAATCAAATTCTTAAAACCAAAGACAAAAAGAGAGTCAAAAACAGCAAGATAAGGCTGAGCATAGCGGCTCATGCTTGTAACCCTAGCACTCTGGGAGGCCAAGGCAGGAGGATCGCTTGAGGTCAGGAGTTTGAGACCAACCTGAGCAAAAACAAAACCCCATCTCTACTAAAAATGGAAAAACTTGGCTAGGTTTGATGGTGCATGCCTGTAGTCCCAGCTGCTTGGGAGGCTTAGGCAGGAGGATTGTTTAAGCCCAGGAGTTTCAGGTTGCTATAAGCTAGGCTGATGCCACAGTACTGTAGCTCGGGTGACAGAGGGAGACTGTGTCTCAAAAACAAAGAAAGAAAGAAAGAAAGAAAGAAAGAAAGAAAGAAAGAAAGAAAGAAAGAAAGAAAGAAAGAAAGAAAGAAAGAAAAGTAACTAATCATGGTCATGGGATCCTTAATCAGATTAGCAGCAATTTTTTCGTCAGAAACCATGGAGTCCAGAAGTTAAGTGGAATGATATTTTTTAATTACTGAACATAAAATAACTCTCAGCCAAGAATGGTATATCTAGAAAAACTATCCTTCAAAAATGAAGGAAAGGTGAAGAAAATCACAGATAAATGAAAGCTGAGGGAGTTAGCTGCTAGTAGACCTGACCTGCAGAAAATGTACTACAAGCCAGAGAATACTTCATGATGAGATGAAAGGATGCTAGACAGTAACTCAAGACCATATAAAGAAACAATGAACTCCAGTAAAAGTAACTACATAGGTAAATATAAAATCCAGTATTATGTTATTTTTGTTTGTAACTCTTTACTACATGATTTAAAAGACAACTATATAAAAATTATTTTAAATCTATGTCAGTAGTCACATAATGTGTAAAGATGTAATGTGTGGCAATAAGAACATACAGGAGGAGACAGCGCTGTATAGGAGCAGAGTTTTGTATGCTCTGGAAGCCAAGTTGTTATGAATTCAGTCCAGATTTCCATAAATTTAAGATAGTAATTGTAATCTCCACATTACCCACAAAGAAAATATCTGAAAAATATACACAAAAGGAAATGAAAAGGGAATCAAAATGGTTCACTACAAAAAAATCAGCTACACA